ACAGCGTCAACATATTGACAACCATGTACACCGCAGTCACTATCCACAAGTGGAAGGCTGATTGCTGCAATGTCAAATGAAAGGTAAGTTCTTTTGTAACGTTGACGTGAAGATAGGGTGCCTGACTTACGTTGCTCGTGTTCAAGTGGAGGAGGATGAATGGAACGCAATAGTATCGTGGCCTATCCAAACGCATACGACACGTTAGTTTCGTTATCAGCGTCAATGTAAAATGCCTTGTGCAGTGCTAAACGTACTCAACAAGCGGTGATGGAATGAGGACCAAGCACACGGCAAGCGCGTAGACAAGTTTCCACAGCGGTGAGCGTCTCCGACCTGTAGACAAACAAATCGTTACAGTAGTAAATGCACTTTATCATCAGGTGACAACATACACGAACATACCTAGTTCATCCCAGCAGCGCCAGCCGAAATACAAGTATAGCGGTGCAGGAAGAAACTTGGCCATATCATACTTAAGGAAGAACTTCCGCCACACGTAGAATGTGTAATGTCGATTGTCTGCCAGCATGAACTTGTGCACGGGGCTGAAAAGATGGATGACTCCAATAGTCACTACAACCGCGAAGATCATGAAGACGACACCTCTAGACGACCCAGCGTTCCGGCGGAGCGACGCGATGGATCTCTTCAGTTGGTTAGGAGCGATAAGGCTGAGTCCGAAGCCCGATGCTGCCACTACAATGAAGTACAGCACCTGGGCTCCATGGAATGTCACCTCGTGGTTGGATTTATCGCCTGCACAATTAAGCAAGAAGAAGGTCAACGATATCCATCCACTAGTAGCATGGACATTCACATTTGCTCTGCTTTCAAACTTACCAACAACGATGCCACCATTCGCCACCAGAAAGCCGACAAAGCCCGCCACAATCACGACGAAGGGCCAGACGATAAGAAGAATGGACGGAAGATTGGAAATTACGACGCTGATGAAGCTAAGAAACACCCGAAGAGAGCTGCTGGTAACTCAAAAGTCAGTCGTTGGTCTCAACACATTGAGCATACCTCGATCGTACCTATGCGTGACGGATGAAGTGCCACTAGCACTCGTGTCCTCTTTCAACGATCTGGTATTGTCAAGCAAAGCGATTTAGAATCAATTTGCATGCTTACGGCGACCCGAATAAACTTACCCGTAGATGAATTTCGAGTGGGCAAGCTCAACGCAGCGAACCACGACGGTACCAGCCACAAATACCACCCAGATGATGTTCGTCTGGCGGAAAAGCACCGCCACTGCTCCACTCTATAAAGGAAAAACACCCCACGTCAATCAAATGCACTAATGCAAAAGTTAGTGAATCACGCACCAAGGAACTGAGCATAAAGCTCCCTCTCGCGGGAGGATATTGCAGCAGATCCACCCTCTCCGCCAGCAATGCCATCAGTAGCACAAAGAACGTCGCTCCTGCGTCCGTGTAGAACAGGAAAGCGAAGAAAAGTAGCGGTGGAAACACTGCAATGCGCAGTGCATGTAGCAGCGCGTTGGGGTCTTGCGGTGCCACGTGGCGTCTCAGTAACACGCACAGCACGACATTCCCCAATGCAAACAACAAGTTCACACTACGGAGTACTGCTACGGAGCAGAAGTCGCCCACATTGAGCGTGAAAGCGGCTTTGGCGTACAATGTTGATGCCAAATACAGACCCGGGAACGTAGTAATCTTCGGATCCCATTCATCTAGAATAGGGCACAAGTTGGTTAGCAGGATAGATAAGGCATGTGCCAGTCCACAAAACAACTCTACACACCAAAACGTCCTTCGCAGTATTTCTGGGCTTGAGGAATGTGGAAAATCTCGTCCTGGCGGTTGGAAATGCATCAAGTTGGGTTAGAAGTGCGCGAAGGGGTTGGCACGGGAGGGCAAACGCTTTGGTACCATGTAGGGGTCATGAACGGTTCTGTTTACCGCAACGAGTAGCCATAAGAACAGCAGGCTTAAGATGGCTATCAGGGGGAGGATGGAGGCGGAGGAGCGCAGCGGGACAGCGGTGGGACCGCCACCGATAGCAGCTATCGTCATTAAAAAACACTATCGGTACTTTTCCAGGACCCGAAAATAGCATTATCAATAAAATAATTTCCGAAAATAATAGTATTTTATTTCGATAAAAATTACAAAATTATCTATTTTGTGGAAAAGGGATACTTTTAAATGGAAAATGCCAATTAGTATACCGTATACTAGAGAAGAGAACTTTAGTTCCTGGACTAACTCGGAACATAAAATCGTACTTAGAGAGAAACATTCTGTAAACGCTCCAATGATTGTTGACCCGGTGGAGTAACAGAGTTCCAATGGATCAAGGTTCGGAATACCTCTATATTCGCGAATCCTTTCTAACTCCCTATACTTGACCTAACATATTACAAGTTGCCTTTTCGGTCTGCACCCGCGCTTCTACTCCAGTTCGCATCCGCCCTTCCTCTCCAGTCCGCGCTCGCATTCATCACGGAAATGGCGGAGTTCAGCAAGCGCAGCATTGTCACGTGGTAGATGGTTGTAGTAGATGGAAAAATGTCAACTGAGTATATTTTTCGGTTAGTTGGTTCTTGCTAGTCTTTGGTTTCCTTGGTCGCGCGGGGAGTGTTATATG